GCTGGCCTATCCATGCTTATACTAAATGCTCCAGCTTACTTGAGACATAGATTGTGGTATGTGAATGGATAAAAATGATTAAATGCAAAACAAGCCTACAAAACAATTAATATATAAATGAGAAATTGCTCGGATGTTTTTGTACAAAACAGACTTGATAAAACACCCAAAAGCAGCGGTGACACTGGCCAAGCGTGAAGCGGTGACAGGAAGCATAAAATTGGCAAAGTAATTGAGGCAGAGAGAAGTATTCATCCAAGTATTCATCCAAGAGATTTCAGTACCTTTCATTTAAAGATGAGACCTCTCTCATTTTACTAATGCGGACATGAATTCATTTTGAATTATGGATGGTTACTGAAAATGTAGTTTAAAAGTACTTCCACCCAAAGGGCAGCTTAGGGCGTTTATGAGCAGTTCTTATCTCTACACATTTGGTTAATGACCTTCAAGAAACCTGATGGATATTGAATATCGCCTGGTTTCACCTTTTTAGGTTTAATCACATGGAAGGGGGAAAACTCAGAGATAACATCTCACACAGAGAGTAAAGCCACGACCACTGCCAGGCATGGCAATAAATACAAATCATTCGCACAAAGACTCTCATCTCACTCAGGGTTTGACTGATAAGGCTGATAGCTATGGTTGTATGGTTTGGCTATAAAGGATGTGTGGTTCTGATACTCAGAATATCCACAAAAGTTCACCCCAAAATATAAGGGTTTAGCTTTTCTGGAGAAAACATAATATTTATGAGGATTTAGTTTCCTCTGAATGTGTTTTTTCACATGGTGTAAAACACTTAAATAGCTTTCAGCCTGTTGTAAGCCCAATATAATATCTGTCTAAGGCTAACACACACTTTAATTGAAGGTTTGCCTGAAGTTGTGGTGTGACCACTTTCTCTGTTGTCTCTAACGATTATGCTGACAGATGGAAGCAATCAAAAGACTTTATTACTTTAGTTTTCTAAGCCAGAACACTCACAATCATCAATAAATGATAACCTTTTCATTTAAGACTTTATCTGACAAAGCAGTACACTAATCCTTAAAATTGACCTGCTTTATCTTTGTGTGTTTATGTGCAGCGCAGCACGCCTGATTCAATTCAGGGATAGTAGCGAAACAGAGACAGTGTTTCTAATTCGTAAAATAGCATCCTCTGCTGAAAGAAACCCTTACAAACTGCTGCGGCAAAACAAGCAGAAAACTGCATTTACAGCATGAGTTTGTGTGACAGTACGGGCACATTCCCAATGTGATTATGCATCCCCAAATGCTGGAGCTGTATATGCAATTGCTGTTTGAAACCACAGAGATTAACCTGTGTCACTTTGCTAAATCAAATTGGCTGGTACAGTGTTCTCATTATTTCCACTGATGACTACCCACCAAACACACAGAGGAAATTAGTGCCAGAGACAGCAGCAGCAACAGTCATTCAGCAGGGCTGAAACACTCAAATACACATTAAGCTGTCGATAAAAGATTCCCATCACAGCTGGATTTAAAGAAGTCTTAAATGCACTTCTTTAATATAAAATAGCCCCACCTAGTGGAAGATATCCTTCAAATACCCTTGAAAATGTTTTAAGATATAACAGGGTTTTGGTACCAACAAATAAATAATATCAAAGAGAAAAGGAAATGAATAGGTAGACACTGAACATATCCTATATTTAGAACACAGGTACAGATGTTTACATGTAATAATGTTCTATTATATTACGATATATATATAACGTATATATATATATATATTTATATATATATACGTTATTAGAATAACCTTTCATCTATTTGTTTTGTATTGGCTGTTGTTGTGTGTCTGACCTTTGAATAACAATTATACCGACCATTTAGAGGTTATATTCAATCTAATCATGTCCAAATGGATGGATGGCTGTTGTGATGTGTGTGCTCTTCACTCTGCTTGCTGTCTGGCCTCTTGTCAGTACTGTTTCTGTTTGCTGGGAGGCACAGCGAGCAGGGAGCTGAACTTGTGCGCTCTGAAAGTCTGACAGGAGCAGAAACCATTGAATTATTCCGTCCTGACCCATCCTCACCTACGCTTTTCAGTTCCATTGCCGTCACTGCCGGCAGAGCTCGGAGAACCTGCACCCGTCTCATTTCTTCTAACACAGCTGAGTCTAATGGGAAACAAAGCAGAGGAGTAGAAAGGCAAACAATGGACAGTGAAAAGAAGCATGGCTTCTGACATGGAGGCAATCCATGTCCACAGGGAAATGCAATACAACCGCAATTCTCACCGTGCAAGAAAAATCTGTCAGCGCTATAAAATGTGTTCAAAGAAGGGATGAAACAAAATGAAAAATTAATTAAGAGTGTCTGACATCCAAGGGTGGTATAGCAGTTTATTATAGAGTTAGCTTGAGTAGTAGGTAAGTAAGCTCTTAAGTAGTTAAATACAACCATTTGTAATACATAGCCCTGCATTTTAACTTTAAACTGTTGCATTTATGAAAGTAATTATCTGTAACATAGATTACTGATGGATACAACAACAGTATATCCATTTAACAAGAGCTTTTGTATTTGCTGCTCTAAACCCATTGGGTCGAATCAGAATCAGAAATCAGTTTATTGCCAAGTAGGTTTTCCAGCCATTTTGATGCAGAAACATCACAATAAACATAGTAAGAAAAAGAAAAAACAAGTACTGCAACCGTCAAGAGTAATAAATATAAAATAGACATTTTATATTTATGTTTGAGCGGTCTTTTCTGGGAAGTGTTGTGTTCTACTTTTCAAGATTGTTCATAAAAAAGAACTGAACCAACAAAGACAAAGAAAACATCCATTACAGAAACACAACCTTCACCAATAGAAACAACGTATAAAACAATGTGAAAGAAGTGATGAACCTACAGAGAATTTGACCTAATCTGCAGATCCCCTCGATTTTATGGAGTTTGATAGTGAGTTTCAGCGTCTGCAGATATGAAAAGCTCATTCTAAGGTAACGAAAACATAACGCTTCCTATATCCAGGTGATTGTACACTAATGAAAACATAGTTATGTATATTACATTCTATTTCTGCCAATAAAGTCTCATAAATGTTACACACTGGACCTTCAAATAAGCAACTGTTCACCATATCAGCTTAAAAGATGAGAATCAATACTGTTTCTGCTGCCCACAAGTGGCCGAAGCAATGACTTATTGTAGGTTTAAGCAGTGTCAGAGTAACATCCATACATCATTAGTTGACAATCAAACACCACAGTAATGAGCCCCAAGATGGTGCCAACAACAGTTCAATTCAAACCAAATATAGTGCAATGCTTGTTTAACGTCTTTGAGCTTATTAGCATCTCATGGGTTTTAATGGATGGGCTGGGTCACATACTGTAGCTGACAATAAAACATGCTCACAATATGAGCTTTAGAGTGCCAGACTTTCATCGCATGGCTTCAAGACTACAAGTTTAAGGCAGAGGAGAGTTAAGTGTTTTCAGTATTCCACTGCTACTAGACAGGCGAGTATGTAGTTTGATAATTGATTAATCAATGAAGTCATTTTCAAGCAGAAAATCCAAACATGACCTCCAGTCTCTCAGCTGAGGATTTGCTGCTCTCCTTTGTTTTATGGGACAGTACACTGCATATCTTTGGGTTTTGTTGGTCAGACAAAACACGATATCTCAAGACTTCGACTATTTTCTGACAGCGTAAGACTAAACAATGAATAGATTTAGATGATACAAAATAAATACAGCCCATCACTACTGACTGATCAGATAAGTGCATATTGCCAGATTGTCTGGCTAATCGATTAAGCTCAGGTTATGGCAGCGGCAGAGACAGCTCTTTGTGATTGTGGAGATATTATTGCTTTTGTATGTTTTCAGTGAACCGTGGCATGATAAGCTCAACTCAGAGGATTTTTCATCACAGTGAAAAATAAGCCAATAGTTCACACATGAAAATGTCATCAACAGTTCTTCAACTTGGGCTTCAAAATGACCCTTCAGTCTTCTGGGGAATCAGCTCATGTTGAGAGAGCGCTGTGTGCCCTTTCACCAAAAACTGATGAAGAATTGTTCTCTTTTGAATCTCATGATTTCTTCAGATGTCTGTTAGAAATCTATTTTTTGTCACCCAAGGGATGTGTTATATTCTACATAAGAATTGCGTAAATATTAAATTATTTTGTTATATCCTAAAGCTTTTTATAAGTAGGAAGTCATCACTTCACCAATTTGTGACCGAAAGCCTTGTTCCATATATTTGGTGTCTAACTTGACAATATGGATCTTTATGGAAGCATGTAGCAGCTTGAGAGAGCACACCATAGCTTGTCTGAATACAATAAATTATTATTAGCACGTTTGTGGTGTGTGGTCTTTGCTGCAAAGCAATAAAACTTCCATCTTTTCTTTTTAATGTGACTTTCATTTTGATCATAAAATGCTGCACTTTCACTCTACAGTATCCTGCGTCCACACTGCAGCTCTCATGGTACAATGACACCACCATCCTTCCCTTACTTACTTACTAACCCTAACCCATACATATTTCATTCCATGCATATTAACTGCTGAAATAACGTGTACAGGAAGCAAAAAGTGACAACACTGAACGTTTTTGCCTTTTTAGAAAGCTTATTTCCTTTTTATGACAAAAGAGAATGAAACTCAAATAAAGCAATCATAGCAAGACTGCCGAACGAGATTGTTTTGTGGAATAAAGAATTTAGACAGTTCAGGCGGATAAGCACACTAACATTTGCTCCCAAGCCGTACTGTGTCAAAACTAATTGAGTCTGACTAAGAAAATGACTTTGGCCTCTGGCATTCAAATTGTACAGGAATGGTTTCAGAGACTTTGGGAACAAAACGTATCCAGATAAATATACTTTCCCCCCCCCCCAGCATTTCTTGGGAGGTGGTACACTGAGTGCTGACGTGAATGGCACAGCCCAGCCCCTGCTATAATGTGAGGGGGAAAGTCCAGACGCAGAGAACTAGGCTACAGAGTGGATCAGCGCGGTCGGTGCGCAGACACATCAGGTGCGCACCAGGAGAGACTCCAAGACGCGCAGCGGCAAGACTGATGCATGCTGTACAGGTTTGCTTTGAAAGATGTGTTTACACGTATTACTAATGTGAGCTATCAGGATAAAGCGCGTGATTTACCGAAACCTTGGGGTAAAGACACAAGAAAGAAAAAAAAAAAACAGAAAAAAAAAACAGTGTGAGCGCTATTGGAGACGCACCGGACCAACAAAACCCTTGCTCTTAAAACTGTGTCATGAAGCCGCAGCAGCGGGACACAGACCTCCCATAGGTCATTTTGACAAAGTTTCAAATTCATCTAAAAGGGGAAAAAAAGACACCATGAACTTATCAGAGCCCGTTTGGCTCTATGAAGAGTCGTGGAACGTGAGCAGAGCCGAGGAAGAGGACCAGAAACTTTTATTCGGGATCGGCACGGATAATTTCATCACGCTGCTGGTTTTCGGGCTCATCTTTACGCTCGGCGTGCTGGGCAACTCCATGGTGATCACCGTGCTGGCCCGGAGCAAACCAGGGAAACCACGGAGCACCACCAACATATTCATCCTCAACCTGAGCATAGCGGACCTCTCCTACCTGCTCTTCTGCATCCCTTTCCAGTCCACCATCTACATGATGCCGACGTGGGTCCTGGGCGCCTTCATTTGCAAATTCATCCACTATTTCTTTACTGTGTCCATGCTGGTGAGCATCTTCACACTGTCTGCCATGTCCGTTGACCGATACATTGCCATCGTCCATTCCAGAAAGTCCTCCTCAATCCGGGTGGCCAAACATGCCTTCATCGGAGTGGTGGTGATTTGGATACTGTCTCTGGCCATGGCTGCGCCTGTCATGTATTACCAGAACATTTTTCACAGAGGCGAGAATCACACCTTTTGCTGGGAAGTGTGGCCAGATCAAAACCAGAAGAAAGTCTATGTCGTTTGCACGTTTGTTTTTGGTTATGTGTTGCCCCTGCTGCTGATTACCTTCTGTTATGCAAAGGTAAGGAGGGCTATCCATATGGGTCATGGGTCATTTGATAATTATGGAAATGACTTATCCATCCAAAACTATACCTGTCCTCTATTTCTTTGCTTACAGGTTTTAAATCACTTGCACAAAAAACTAAGAAATGTCTCCAAAAAGTCAGAGGCATCAAAGAAAAAGGTATGTATTAAGCTGTCTTTTTTTGATGGTTGTGAGTGGGCTGTATGTCATGGATCACATCCGTATGTCAGCAAGCCTGTCCGGCTGTAATCAGTAACAAACATAACACTAAATAACACAGATAGATAGGATGGGGTGATTCATCACCTGTGGAATTACTGCAGAATTACATCAATTCCCAGGACTTCAAATAATAAAAAAATGTGACATGGCACGTGTTGAAGTTCATTGTCTGTAAATAATGCTTAAATCCCTGAAAATACTCATTATGTAAAACGTTTCCCATTACAGTGACCATCTGAACCTTTGAATGGGGTATTACACCCATATCTGTCATGTTGGTGATGATAATGTTGCTAATGACGATGATTACAGTGATAAACGATGTCACCCATTACATCATTTTTAAGGGCAGCACAAGTTGTACCTTTACTGAAATGCCCTCCATCTATCTGGATTAGCGCATTTCACGGTTCACAGAGCTGCAGCCCTTTCTTCCGCTGACATATGGTTTGATTCAAAGCTGGGGTCAATGTTCTTGGCCTTTAGGAAGATATATATCACAGCTACACTGACCCCACAGTGCACACATTATTCAGTGTGGGACTAGACTATATGTCTGTACCACATGCTGTACCACTTCCTCCAATTCAACAGGCGGTCAGAGAGAAGTATTTCCACCATCTCTCATTCTCCTTAGGGTCAAAATGATGAATATTAATGTTATAATGCTCACTGTTAACTGGCACACTCAAGCAAAGTGGCCAAAAGGCACTGTGCAATCAAACTGCCATCTAGCCTGCATTATTCTCAGTGGAGGTCATTTAGCTTCCCAGAGAGCCAGTTATCTGCTGTCGCCCGCTTGATTGCCGATCTGTCCGTCTGTCCATTGTCTTCACAGCTAGTCAGTTTTGAGGCGCGATCTGATAACAGAAACTAGCAGCACAGACTCCCGGTCTGCTGGGGGGGACTGATGAGCATGTAAATGTGCTTTAGTGTATACCTCCCTACATATATGCTTTTATCGTATGAGGCTTAAAACATCTACAGAAGGTGAAACAGGAATTTCATGATTTACTATGTGCACTGAGTGCTGATGGAGAATGCACAGAGGGAATATTACACTGACAGGTTTGTGATAAACGGTTGGCAAACAGCGCATTAAAGCCAGCCTGTAATACATAAATTACCTTGGTAAGGTAGCTACTGTTTAACTATAACTCATGTCAGAACAGACAGTTTGTGCACACATATTAAATCTGTGTATGGTATGACAAACTGGTGTAATGCTGCCAAACATGAAAGCTGCAACAAGTATATTTAGGTTTTTTGAAAATAAAAGTATGGTGCTAGTGCCAAAGCCGGTGTTTACTTGGCAGTGTGTCTCGGTTTTGTCCAGTGAGTGTCAAGGAAAATGTTTAATAATAAGACGAATTATGTGCAGTATAGCACTGTTCCTTGCACAATCTACACACAGTGAATAATACACATGCATATACTAGATCAGCCCATTTGTTGTTAGTTTTTGTACTATTTAACATCCATTCGAAGTTACAACCTGTTTAGAGTAACACTGAAAAAAACAACAGAACAGAAACAGAATCAGTTAAAACTACTTTAAGACTTCATAGACAAATAGAGTGATTTGTAAAAGGGTTAGAGATAAACTGCAAGATGAAAGATGAAAGATCTCCCAAAGCTGTTATCACGTCCTTCTATGGTAGGAAATCAAGGTAAGGGTGCTGCCACGCAAAACCCATTTTCAAAAGGAAAAAAAAAAATGGACTCCTGTCCTGTCACAGGTCCCATGATCACTCAACTCCCTGGATGCTTTCTCTGCACTCTAACTGAGATGAGGTAAAGAGCTAACCTGGCTGATCTGTTGGGTATCCAACAGCTTTTTTGCCCATAGTTAGATGAAAAGATCAATCATATCTATACTGTAAATATGAAGCTACAGCCAGAAGCGGGTTAGCTTAACTAAGCATAAAGGAAAAGGAAACAAGTAACCTGAATCTGTCCAAGTGTTCAGTTGACCGTGCCACTGAACCCCAATGGCTCCAGCTGGACAGGCCAGTGAGTGTGTGTGTGTGTGTAAATGTGAGGCAAATTAGTGCTACAAAAATGCAGTCCATTTAACAAAATTTGCCTCCAAAGCTCATAATATTGGATGTCACATAAAAACCAAAGTCTAAAAACCAAAGTTGTGGTCATAGGGGCCGTTATGTGAGGGACTATTTCTGCCGAAGTATGACTTCTTGAAAGTTCTCTGCTGGTTGCCTAGCGATCTAGGTTAATGACAAGAAATCCCTGCTCCACTTCCGTTTATGTTTACCAGCTATTAACATGGTCAGTAGTGAACTTCAGGGCGCTTGCAGACAGCAAACGGTTGCCAGTATAATTATAATAAGTATTATATCATCACCAGCTAAATTGTCCCAAACAATGAACAATTGAACAATGCTGGTGAAGAGATGTATAATCCAGGGAACTAAGATAGCAGTTAAATAATATATCATTTCACACAGTGAGCACTGAACTATCATAAACAAACTATCATAAATGCAGCAGCAAAGACAGCTTGATGGTCGCTGTCTGAAAGCACAGTTAGAGGTGCTGGTAGGCAGACTTTGACTGACTGTTGGACAGGAGTCAGGCTAGCTGTTTCCCTCTGTTTTCAGTCTGCTAATCTATGCTAACCATCTCCTGGAGGTTCATATCTACTGTACAGACATGAGAGTGATATTGACCTTTCATCTAACTCTCGGCAAGAAAGCAAATGAACTTATTTCTCAAAATATGAAACTATTCCTGAAAGCCTAAACTAGGTTATCTCAAAGGAAAAAATCAGAGTAGTTTTATCAATTAATTACGAGGATGGCATCATGTTTGCAAGCTCCTTTTATGTGCTGCCTTAAAGCATTAACGGATATGTCATACAAGCAATCGGTGCTTTTCACAAAAGACAAAAAATCAAATGAGACAAAAAAACAAATTGCTGTGAGCCACACAGTGTCCTTGGTGGAAAGCGGAGGGAATTTGTCCAAATAAGTGTTTAATCAATGGTTTTGTGTGGTTCACTCAGGTCTCGGCAGCTAATGCTTGTGAAATATAATCTCACTGGCAGCTGGGAAGACCAAGGTTACTCCCACTGCTGTTGTGAAATACATCTAGACAAACTTTTTATCACTCTCAGACACCCACAGTAGGAAACAGACAGCTTCCAACAGCCAAACGAGACACTCTCAAAAGCCAAATAAAAAAAAAGTTGGAAATCTTCCTTAATCTTTAATTTTTTTGTGCAAAGATGTGACAAACCCGACACAGATAAATCTCTTTCCCCCCTAGCTTTATGTCCTGTTCAGATAAAGAATGATTTTTTGGGTTTGTCTCCTGGTTCATGTTCTTAGAAATACCAGAGTGTTGGAGTTCATTTTACTTGGCAAACAATAATGTTTTTAATGGATTCTCAATGGTGAACCAGAGGTTAAAAAGCCAATAATTAGTACTGTAGGTCTAGCAGATTTTTTTCTCAATTATATGAGTCAGTCAGGCTTCCAGACGGAGCACACAGATGGCTATAGATAATTATGAAAATTATTTTTTGGCTAAGTCATCTTGAAATTGTTTAACAGCATCTGTAAATGCTAATTATCCGAACTGAGTCTTGCTAGGCTAACTGAATGAATTTCGCTGTGGCTTAAAAAGTAATTCAAAGTACCAACAACAACTCACACCCACATGAGGGTCCGACTCAAGACATCTCATTTTGAGACCCCAGGTCTGTAAGCGAATAGGAAGGATCCCCAACAGAGACAAGAATTTTAAACAAGATTTCTTCACTCTACTCCTAAACCTCTCTGTAGTCAAGACTACCTTTGTTGAGTTCAAGACGAGTCCAAGACCAGGGCTAGTCAAGACAGAGTCAAGGCTCAATCCAAAGAGGTTTGAGTCCAAGTCAATTCTTTTGCCATTCCCTGTGAGATGAGTTCTGGCATCCAGGCATGCAATTCCAGTGATAACAACTGGCTGCCTAGTAACCATGGTTACTGCGGCCAATACCCATTCTAGATGGATTTTGAATGAAACCAATATCCAATACCAATAGTGTATTGGCGAGACCAATGGCCAAGTCCCAGTGCAAATACCAACGAGTCCGAGACAAGTCTAAGACAATAGAAAAAACGTTGTGCAAATAAACCAAGGAACAAAACGCTCATGAAGCACGTGACTTAAAAGTCCACTGAAGCTTTCACTTTACTGGACATTAGAACAGATGATCACATCTGTGTGGACAGATGAAGAGACTTCCTTAGAAAAATACATGAAACAAATCTCATATTTCCAAGGTCTTCCATCTTTCCAGGTTTAACTGGCACACTTCTGATTACATCATCTTGTTGCGCCCTCTTCTCCTGCAGTACTTTAATGGGACCTGGCAGAAGCATTAGTGTCACCAACTGCTATGTCAATGCGCCGAGGTACCATTATTGGCATAACTGTAGTGAAATCCATATTGGCTCGTAGACCTGTAGTGCCCAGATGTGAAGTCTGCAAATGGACCCTCCTCCAAACCCAACTAGTCATATAGCTGCAATGCATTCTGGTCTGTTGAAGCTGTTTTTTTAGAGGCAGCTTTGATACAAACCCCAAGCGACTTCTTGAGATTGGCACTTTGTTAAACTGGTGCGTGCATTTCTTCTTGCACGCTGTAGACAGTGCAGACAGACCCCCTTTGATTCTGACACACTGATTTCAAAAGCATTTTTATATATACATATAGCCTGTTGTTTATGTAAATAGCAGAAATGAGCTGTGAATTGCAGAGCACATTACAACTGTTTAAATGTTTTTTGCGTCTTTTTCGCTTATGCAGAAATGTCTTCTCTGCTAAAATCCAGCTTTGACTTGAATACATTACTAAAATGTGACACTAAAAATGAATCTTGACAGCTTTTAATCAATTATTTACCAACCAACAGCTTTCAACAAAACAAGGTTAGAGGCAGTGTGGCTGGAGAAGAGAGGGGAGAAGAGAGGCTGAAAGGCATGCATTTTATTAGTTTTTTGTTCCTGTAGTGATGGTGCTGTTTATATTAGCCTAACTGGGGTCGAGGTGAAGATATGAATGTGTTATTATGGCGGCTATCCAAACAAATGGTTAACATACTGCTCCACTAAAACTGTGGGAACCTCTCACTGGCTACTGTGTCCGCGGCCGTGTGTCTGTGTGTGTGTGTGTGTGTGTGTGTGTGCATGTTCTTGTGTATTACAGTCGGGCTTGAGCTGATATCTCAAGCCAATATTGACCTTTCATTTCAAATTGGATATGGTGCAATCTTTGACGTTTATCTCTAATATGATCAATAAGGTGCAGTTTCATTACAGGTTTATTGTAAAACTGATCAACACTCGACTGTGTGAATTTGATACGATGGTTCATGGAGCCTTTCCACAGACTGCTCAAACATTTGCACAGACATGTTATCATTATTGTCATACTGCTTATGAGTTCTAGGTTACAACTGTACCCACAGTTCATTTTTAATTTTGGTATGAGTTGTATTTAGAAAATGTTTTAGAAAAATGCAATTGCAAACATTGTAACCTTCCTGTGTCTTTTTCCTTATTGACTTTCTTTCCTGATTTAAAGGTCCAGTGTGTAACATTTACAGGGATCTATTGGCAGAATATATTGAATATAATACTCATAGGGATGAGTATATATTATCTGAATATAAGATTTGTTGCCCTAGAATGAGCCTACAGACACCACCTGGTTGTCTTCCATGGAGTCCACCATGTTGTACTGCCATGTTTCTACAGTAACCCAGAAGGGCGACCACATACTCGCTCTTTTTTTTTTTTTTGCAGTCTTCGTAGTTTCTTCTTTCCTGTCGCTGGAAGGGTGGGTGAAGCGACAAAGTTGCAATCTGTAACTACACCGCTTAGATGCCACTAAATCCTACACACTGGACTTTTAAGTATCAGATAGTCCCATGTTAGCCAACTAAAGCAGAATACACTTGAGAGTCTACTTTTTGACTAAACACTTTTTGGTACAAAAACAGATATAACATCTTCAACCCTTTGTCGGCTCCATCGTTAAAAACAAATGTTGCGTTGACTATGATTATTCAAAGAAATGCAACTTTCTGAATACAGTATGTCATTCTAATGGTGCTAAAATGACATCTTGAGAGACTTTTGAATTGATATTCATATATCCAGTGCAGCCATTAAAGATTTATCTTGGAATATTTCACTTCACTGAAGTATTGAACAAATACGATACAAATATTTCACATTTTAACGTGTGTGAAATTCTTGTGTTCCTCAAGAGAACTGGAGAGTACTGGAAACCTTAGATTTCAATTCAATTGTTCATTGTAGATTCTGGTTACTATGGCAGCCTCAGTACAGCAGCTTCAATTCAACATTGGTCATCAGAAATGTATGAGTCAAAAATTAGGATGTTCTTTATATCTAGAGAACAATGCATTGAGTTTTGTGCTAGGCTGTATGTATTCCTCTTTCTGCGTCACTCTTCCTGTACTGTTCCCTGCTCTTAACTTAATATCTTAACTATCAACCTACTACTCAATCATTACATGCTCAAAAGGCTATTCTGGACTGTTTTGGCATGTTTTCATTTTTAACTTTACTTGAACAAAGCTACAGAGAAAGCTACATTTCTAATTAATTTGTCAGGCTCCTCTGTGTTTTTTTTTTTTTTTTCTATGATGGGAACTAATTAGTTGTGGAATACATCCAATTGCTACCTTGAAATGCAGTGGAGGGGCTCAGCAGATCAGGGAGCATGTAATTAGTTTTCTATTACAAACCTTTCCAGCTGTAGCCTTTGGCTTTACTGATAGTTTTGCCTGAAGTAATAACATCCACCGCTTTCCTCTTAGACATTCCATAAAATTGATTTGCCACGATTGTCACATTAAGTTATAACATCTTATTTTTAACTTATCTGGTCATCATTTTCAGAACATTATGTTAAATTGTCTTTTTTTATTCTTAGATGAGGATAGGTTCTACATGTCAACTGCAAGAGACAACATGTTACCTGCTGTTCATGTATATAGCAGCAGAACAGAATGATCTGTTAGTGCAGCAAGGTCTCTGTTGACGACTTACATAGTTTCTTTACTTCATGTTTTTCATTCTTGCCATTGTTAAACGTCTATAGACCCAAGGACAAAGCTTTGATACAGACCTACACTCTTGGTTACCCTAATATGTAGCTTTGCTTGTTGGAATGAGATGTACTAAATGGATTAGAGGGATTTTTTGCATTGTTTTGTTCCACCCAGAAGTGTGCCTCATCATCTATGTACTGTACAAGAAAATCAATCATGAATAAAAGCATTGCCATCAATCCTAATATGAGGGTTAAGATCTACAGAATTGCTGCTGGATCTGCTGAGTGAAATGTTAAAAGGATAATGTGATTTATGTTGTACTGGTCGGTTTAATGTAATACAATTAAAGGGTTCATGAGGCCTGAATGAGCTAATATTGATGTCGTCAATTTAAAGCAACACTAATCAATATTTTTATATTATCACTGGATAAAATGACTATGTGCAATGTGAAAGGGGTTACTCATAGTAAGAAATCCATGAAGAATTATTAAGTCTGCAGTTATTCTCCGATATAGTTTTTTAACCTTTTAGCTCATGGGTCACAGGGTTAGGCAGTAGACGGTAAACATAGTGGGTCATGTAGCTAAAGAGCTAAAGACACAGATGAATTTCTCAGGATTTGGTGGACAAAACCAAAACAGAGCTAAAAGCGAGTGAACTTTGGACCTACTTTCACCATTTTGCGAGAAATGGTGAAAGACTCCAAATGGATGTTAATGATGCTCAGTATCTGCAGGATGTCTAAATAGGCAACTGTTTGCCCACGTTTGCCATAATGATAATATGACAAAAAACATTAACATGCTTTAAAGAAGATTGGAGGACTGCCATGTTGCCCAACTTAGCCCTGGTGTAGGTGCATGGAATATGAATAAAGAATGAAAACAGAAGAAAGTTATCCTAGGCACTAACCTCTAAAAACGTTATTCCTTTATGCTGAATAAGACTTAAACCTGCGTACAGCATTAATGTTTTCACTGTTGTCCCTGAGGACACTTACTAAATCTTTCTCCTACATCTCTCTGATCCTAATTTGTGGTTCCCAGACAGCTCAGACGGTCCTGGTGGTGGTGGTGGTGTTCTGCCTCTCTTGGCTCCCTCATCACGTCGTTCACTTGTGGGTGGAGTTTGGGACCTTCCCGCTGAACCAGGCCTCCTTCGTGTTACGGGTGGCTGCTCACTGCCTGGCATACAGCAACTCATCTGTCAATCCGGTCATCTACGCCTTCCTGTCAGAGAACTTCAGGAAGGCCTACAAGCAGGTGTTCAAATGCCAGATCGGCACCAGTGACTCCCCACTCAACGACATCAAAGAGATTCGCAGCAAAGCGGACACTCCGCCCTCGACTAACTGCACCAACGTTTGACTGGTGACACGAATATAAATTATGGTGACTGTCACACTGAAACTCAATGTAAAGTCACAGTGACACATGAGTGGGTGTGTGGATTTTTTTGACGTCGGTAAGTATGCTTACCTAGTTTGCTTTGATATCGCTGCAGCTGCACTGTTCCACATAAGCGCTGTTCATTATACCTGGACCAGAGGAGATCAAGCCACTGTGGCTGCACGACGTTATTACTCCCTCTTTGATCAGTCTCTGTTTCCTGCATCTCATCTTTCATAATAAAAACCTGTGGAGTTGGAAACTCAGGAAAAGGATCCTCTCTCTAAAGTGAAACTTATTAGATTGTAGACATCATCAGATACATATGTCACATCACAGTATATTTACAAGCCAATACAAGTCAGTAACATTTGCTGTCTTACCGGGAGTTAGATGGTGGGATGTCTGTTAGTGGAGAAACTGGTGCATGTTAATCTTGATTAGCTTGATGCAGAGTTTGGAGGCGTGGGTAGGCAGCTAGTCTCTATGAAAAGAGAAAAATGCAACTCCTCCAACTCCAAATTTGTTGGAAATGTATATGTTGGAAATTCAGACAATTTACATGTTGTAACATATACTTAACTGGCTCAGTTGCTATCGTTACCCGCTTCAGAGTCGGAAGGTGTATGAACGGGGATTACTTAATCTAATTTATAGTTAGATGTGAAATACATGTCTAAATTCATCTGTTGCCTAAAGCTGTCTAGCTCTCCTCACTTCACTGTTTTGCCCTTAAGGAGAAATTCAATGGCTTACAATGAGATTTTACTGAGACAATTGTAATGTAGAGTGCAGTACAAAAATTTTTCTTGTGGCATAAAATCCTAACCTGTAGCACAGCTGGGTTGCTGTAGCAAGGGAAGGTCTCAGTACTTTTTTGGTCATTCTGTGATTCTGTTCATACCAAACAAATTGCAGCTCCCCAGGTTTTTCAAATCAAATCAACTGAATGATGCCTAAGAGGTCTGGGGAAACTTCCCATGCTGTCTTGTACTGTAAATATCTAGCAAGAGGGGGTCTTTTTTTAGGGCAACTCTATTAATAAAGATGCTAATGAATGGAATGGGATGAAATAAAGAGTAAAACTGAACTTTACCCACATTAGATTTTGCACATGGGAAAATGTCTCAACCAGAGCACCTCAGATACAGCTGATGTTTTTTCAGCTATGTTAGTGCTAACTACATTAGCATTTAGTGCAGAGTGGTCAGTACCGTGCCAACCAATGCGGAATACACACAAGATTATTATTTCTGTTTAAGTGTCTAACTTGCATTAAACTAATCTAAGAGTAAAACGAAGGCTGGCTTAACACTGGAGTGCTGCATGCTGTCACTGGGGTTAAGCTAGCTGTCGAAAAGTACAAGGTACAAAAAGGTGTAGGCTGAGACCTTGTTGCAACATGTGCATGTGGAGTTTTGGAATTGTTAAAAGACATATTTGAGTGGCAGTAACGAAAGTAATGTAATGTGAAGTATGTAATTACATTTGTCGAATAACTTGCTGAACACTCCTTAAAAAAGGTTTCCACTGTAGATAAGAAAAACACTTGCCATTGTCATTGCACCCAGTATGATTAAAGCCTGTATTTTCAATAGATTTGGTTGTAAATATTATATACACAGAAGCTGATATTCACATATGCCTGTATAAGCGTCACTATATTTGGCTCTTATGTTGACAGTTTTCAGATCGTGTCGTGCTGTATGACTGAGCCACGCTGTTGGACGTATAAAGCTCGATGCTTGTTTTGTACCCATTCTGGTACCTGTCTTTTAAACCACAAAAAACAATCTAATAGGCGCTCCTGTGGAAATGAAGGATTCTGATGTTGTACGTAATATGTATGTGATGTGCCAAGCCTCCACACAGCAGCTTTAACTCAGTGTATTCAAACAAACGCATTCAATCTACGCAATG